TCACCGTTCGAAACTCAGCACAGTAAAAGTGGTTTTCTCATAGCATTAAATTTCTGGAAATATAAAGTGGCATATTGATGTAACATTTATTAAAAGCACCATTATGAATTGCTGTTATGGATAATGTCAAAGTACAGTCGTCGAGTTAGAAAAACTTGACGTCCGCTGTCGTCACAAATAATCTGTAACGTTGTCACTGTGTGTTTAATCATATTCAATCTATTTAAAAGATCATATGCTTTACAAATACTTCAATAGTTTCTGTTTCTTTCGGTTTGGAGTTTAATGCTACGCCCCCGTCATTACTAAACGACTCCAGTTGCCACGTTTACTGCAGTAAAGTGAAAAACCGGCTGTGAAATGTCTCTTTTTATTTATATTTATTCTAATGAAAATAAGGTTGTGCAACTTCTGCACGTAAATGGATATGGTTTGGCTGCAGCCTTTAAAAAACACGTTTCAAGCTGTTTACTTCATTGTAATCTGTTGAACAGTCACATCTTCTTATGATTATGCCAAACTTTTTTTTTACACTGCTAAAAGGGAAATGTTCCTTTGCAGAACAAATGTGAAATTGGTAATGGTTTAAAAGATGAAGTCATATCTGATATAGCCTATTTTTAATAGCTATTTTATTGTATTTGTTTTGAGAGTGTGGAGAACAGTATGGCATTGTTTTAAATGTTAGAAAATGCAGTTGTGATGGTTCTTAACAGGATGTGGATCTCACTGTGGTTCTAAATGGTCAATGAGAAAGTGAAAGTGGCTTACATTTTGGAAGCAAATTTAATTGACATCAAATCACACATGTGGGCTTATAAGTTTGCAAAAGTTTGGATTTTCAGAAAATATGAATGATGACAAAAAACTTTTTGCTAACTCATAGTTAGTTGTTGGGTTTATTGTCATATAACTTTTTGGTTGCTCTTTTTAAATCTTAATCACAAATATTAAATCTTGTATTCCCCCCTTTGACATTAGTCAGTCTCTTGAGGTAGTTTTCAATGAGGTTCTTTATTGTCTCTGTTGGTATAGCAGCCCATTCTTCTTGGAAAAAGCTTCTTACTCTTGTAAACTCATGGGCAGTCTTGCATTAAATGGAAATTTTAGTTCTCCCTAGAATGGGTTGAAAAATAGGTGTAGTGTTCCTCTAATTGTGAAATTTTAACAGCAAGTTTGAAACATTTAAATGAAAAATCTGAATCTGCCAAAAAGCGGGTTACTAGGAAAATATACAATATATTTTATATAAATATATACACACAATATACACTGGTCCAAATTTTCGGTGCAATGTTTTTGCGACAATGCACCATGATTGCACACCATGGGAGCCAACGGGACATCACACGAGTGGTACCAATGGAAACGAGTTTTGGATTGCCATATTGGATCAGTTTTTCGCAAGGAGTACAACTAATGAAATCTGGCTATTTTGATGATGTGAGTAGGACGTAAAAGAGCCGCTCGGTGGTGGTCATCCCACATTTTCATAACGACTTTGTGCAGTAAACAGGATAGAAATGGCGCACCACAAATCCTCTCTTTTCTCCACATTTTTGTCAAATAGCTCCCTGTGATCAGCCACCAACAGTATAAAGTGCTCGACATCCATCGATGTGTTCTTTGATTTCTTCTTTGTCACCGCCTTCTTCTTTTCTTGTTTTCCCGTGTGGCGTGGAGTGCATCTGATGTGCCGCAAATGCCATCTTTAGACAGGTAGAGTCATTGCGTCAATATTTTCGCAGACGAAGAGCACCCTGCTGAGAAGCCACCAAAGTTTTGTTGTGTTTCTAATAGCTACATGCTCACAGATGTTGGGGAAGCATTGCATCTCTATCCCTGTTTGCTGACATCAGCAGGAAGGGATCATCAGTTGCTCAATTTCCTGTCAGGGACATCCACAGCTCCCCAGTGAGGGGTCTGCATGAGTGGAGTAGTTCAGTGAGCCTGTGCAAAATGGGTGGGGGTTGTTGAAGTGCTTTCTCCTGCTTTGCTTGGCTCTTTTTGTTGGACTGCAGTGCAACAGAGTACTCAAGCCAACATTCCTTAGTAATCAATACTTGACGCTGTTTGGACCCCCAGCCAAAAAACTTTGACACCAGTCACACCCTCAGTTCAACTGTTTTCTTGGTTTGTTTTCGATAGAACCTGCCGAGCTGAGCTCAGTAGTAAAGGTTCTGTTTAGTAATGAACGCCATATTTTTGGCATAGCAGAAGGAACATTTGTTTCAAAGAAGTACCATAAAAACACACTATACTAATGTGATTCATGGAGAAATGCAAACTGGTGCCTTCTCATTTGAAGGAATTGAATTTAACATGATTAGAAAGATTTATTCTATCTAGTGTTATATTAGTATATACTGTTCTATTGTCTTGTTGTATTTGATGTCTAAAATGTTTCTAAAAACCCACAAAAAACGTTATTCTCACACTGTGTACATAAAAAGCACATCCACATGTCCATTAACAAAAGTCCAAATGAAAACTCGAAACTCATGTAAAGACCTTAACTTGTGTTATAGAATGTTGATGTGTTCCAGTTGTTTTCAAGTGGTTTGCATTTCACTTGTGCCAAAGTATGTGAAGTATTTTTGCAACCATTCTTCCAAACCATTGTGTTCTGTAACCATTTTATTTTTCTCATCTTTGAGTATTTTTATCATAGAATGCGCAAATCTATGGACTAGGGGTGTAACGGTTCACGGTATGTATTGAACCGTTTCGGTACGGCCTGTTCGGTTCGGGACACTTGCGTACCGTTTCGGTATTCGGTATTTGTATTAAATAATATAAATGTATTATTAGCGCAATATTAAGCGCAGCGGAACCATGTTCCTAGGCGAGTTTCCGCACGGACGCTATTGAGGGACGTGCAGCTGTACTGTGCGACACTCAATAGCGTCCGTGCGGAAAATCGCCTTTGGCTTCCCTGTTAAAATACATAACGGGGATAGACGAGTGGATAAATTTAAAGTTGTATGCCGACATTGTTCCACGGAGATCGGGCAGGCAACACATCTAACATTTTCTACTGCTGGAGATATTGTCACTGCAACCAGATCTGTGCTCTCTTCAGAAAATGTGGATAGGTTAATCTTTTTAGCCTAAAACTTGAATAGTTAGTTTTGTTGATATATAAGCTGAAGCTGTTGCTAGTGTTAAAAGTTTTCAGGTCCTAACTAGTTGCAGTATTTCATTTTTTATTTAATAAAATGTGTTTTTCTTTATAAAGAGTGCAATTTATTTAAAATATCACCCAAATGTGTCACTTTTATTTATTTTATGCAAGAATTCTATTGTGTATTGGCAGCTTTTCAAAATAAAGATTATGTAAGTTTTTATTTTTTTGTACCGAACCGAATTAACCGAACCGAACTCTCCAAGACACTGTACCGAACCGAATACAATTTTAGCGTACCGTTACACCCCTACTATGGACATATTGTCTGTAAACTTACCCATGGGTTTATAAAAAGGTATTTGCATGTTAACATTGGTGTAGTCAGCCATACTTCAATGGTTTATGGGTGGGTTTTAAGTGTCTGCTCTTGTTCTTAGGCTCTATTTTAATATTTAAGTAATAAAATGATCACAGTTAACATAATGAATAAAAATATGGTACCTAGCTTTAAACATGTTTTAAGGTGGGCTTCTTAGGTGGCTAAGGGATCTGCTCTTTTTTGGTACAAGACACAAACTGTCATCAATAAACTCCAGTTTAAAGAGACACTTTTTTCCACTTTTTTAAAACAAGCTTAGTCTCCACCTCGTCCCATAAGATAAGAGGTATTGTTTTACCATTTCTGAATTGGTTCAGCTTTTCTCAGACCTGGTGACCAAATAGACAAGTTCAAAATCAAACCATTTCTGTAATTTTACAGTGTTTGTTCCTATTTGAGGTACATCATGATCTAAGGCCAGTTGAACATGATTTTGTTCATCTATAAAGCTTTTATAGTCATTTTTAAGCCATTTGCTTAAAAATTCTAAGATTTGATAAATCTGCCATGGTAAAAATTGTTCTAAAAGAAAAAGCACTATTAGATGGGTGGATTAGTGATGGATGGAGTTCCTCTTATATCATGACTGTGGTTTTGTTTGTAATCAGAATAAGCTGTTAAAACATAATCATTTCCTATCTATCTACCTAAAGTAGTAACACATTTGCTTGGCTCTTGTTGTGTTGTGTGTATATTGCATAAGAGGGGTAGTCATGCATTCTTTTTTTAATTCAGCTCACAAGCACACCATTATTGAAGGAGTGTGGTTTGGTTTTGGTGTGAAGATTTAATATTTACTCTGAGCTATTTGGCTGTGAGTGTGATTTTTCTTTTGCAGTACTTTGCTGTCTTTATCAAAACAATGAAACTGCCAAGCCTTTAATTTATCTATCTCTTTTTGTTCCTGGTAATGCCTCTTTGACTTAACATACCTATTAAACTTGCCATTTTCTGTTGTAGTTATTTATGCTGTTGATTAATTTAATTACTTTTACTATTCAAAAAAGAAATGTTCAGTATATTAGTTTAATGAGTTAACAGATTAGAGTACAGCACCGAAAATGTTCTTAGTTTATGTAAAAATGTAAATTTATTAGATCATTCGGCAAAATGAAGACGATCACACGATACTGTGTGTATTTTACTGCTGTAGCACAGGACAGAGTTTAACACTAAGTTTAACACTTGTCTTATTTACTTAACACTCGTTCTCTTGCTCTTTCTTAATGTATGTATTTGCAGAAGAGCTAAACAGGCATGATAGAATACCGTACACAGATAGTGTTCTTTTATTCAACATTTTTTTCCTCATTGAAGGGTACCACTTTAACCCCAAGTGACAAACATCTAATAGAGCTGGTGAAGAATGGCCAGCCAATCTTCAATCAGACTTAACAATCAGCTCAGAAATAACAACACTTGTTCTATAAAGATTACTGTGTGTTAAATAATCAACATGACAAATTTAAATCACTGTCTCTGGCTTAAACCTAAGCTAAGTGTCTCAGTCAGTAGAGCATTGCGCTAGCAACTCAAAGGTTGTGGGCTCAAACCCCAGGTAACAAGAACTGATCAAATGTGTTAGTTGTTTGAAATGTATGTCGCTTTGGATAAAGGTGTCTGCCAAATGTATATGTATAGTTTATAGCTCTGGCGGGTCTTTTTCTCCCTCAATATATTGAAGACATTTGAAGTGCTGGTTGACTTGCCACAAATCACTGGTTAATTATTAATTCCCTTTGTCCAGCTCTGGCAAACAAACTGAATTGCACAAATACGCCCCGAAGGATATAGAGAGGAGTGAAAAGTTCCCTGCAAGCAGACACCTGTGGCTTAAACATTTTGATAAATTAGTTTAAAATATGTAAAGTTTCAGAAGTCTGTCAACAGAAAGATTGTTTTGATTTTACTCTGAATCAGTAATGTTGATTGTTCATGCTTTTTAGAGCAAGCCATGACGTTACCCTAATAAAAAAGGCAAAAAGGTTCATGTCTTTGGGATTTCATTTCATGTGACGTGATACGACAAACATTCAGAGCTTTGAACTTCCTTCAGATTGGGCCAAGAAAGCAATGAAGCAAGCAGCATGTGTTTGAGAGGAGCTGTTTCTGACAGTTGCATTTTCACTGTTGCACCCATAGGTCATAAAGCATGTGTTACTAAGAATAACAACTGCAGCCACAGAGGCAGGCTCTAACAGCGTCTTGATTTCACTTCATTAAAGCCACGTTTTAAATCTTACATCTTAAGCCAAATATCTTGATGTCTTTAGACATTCACAAAAATGTGGTGATTTTACAGTTTTCACGTGATTACAAAAATCATTGTCTTACTTTAACAATTTCCTCCTAGAGATTTTATATGTTCATCTCCAAACATTTTATTTCTCAAGGGGTGATTGCCCCTGAGGTGCTCATGCCCTTCGATTGCTGCTTGCAGCTTTAATCTTGTTTGCTTTTTTAAATATGTGTTTTACTTGGCCAATTCCTTTATAATTTTTTTTATAGACAGGACCTTGGCAAAACAAGAAACATATTGGGATAGAGGGTATGGAGGGACGTATCCAGCTTGTTTCCATTTTTAAAATTAACCAATTCACAGAATTCAGAGTGAAATTTCTAGAAAATTAACCTTTTAGATAAAATTTGTATTTTTTTACCAGTTTATTTGTGATACATTCGATATTTCTGTTTCTGTCGATCAGATGGTGAGCGAGAAGGTTGGTGGAGCTGAGGGAACAAAACTTGACGAGGACTTCAAAGACCTGGAGAGGGTAAGTCTAGAAGAATTGCTGGGGTTTTCAAGGCAAAGGGTGGTCATTAGGCATTGATTTTCAAAATTTGTAACATTGTGCTTTGTCTTTAATTTTTATTTGTGTAGAAAGTCGATGTGACTAATAAAGCTGTGGTAGAAGTCATCTCAAAGACATCGGAATATCTGCAGCCCAATCCAGGTATGGATCTCTCTTTAGTTCGCATTCGCATATTATAATTAGGGATGTCCCGATCAGGTTTTTTGAGCCCCCGATCTGATCCGAGTCATTTAATTTTAAGTATCGACCCATACCGAGTCCCGATCCGATACTTGTCTTTTCCTTGTGCTAATTGCACACTTTAAGTGCATGCAGGTTATTAAAGTATTCTAAAAGTTCAAAAAGCCGGCGGAAGCCAGTATTCTCTACCACAGAGAGGGGTTGATCGTCCAAAGCGATGAATTCAACGAGCCTTTCTGTAATCTTTTTGGCCTTGCAGCTCTCAAGAGGAAATTTCTGTCTCCTTTTAAAAGTTTCCTCCAGTGTGTGTTGCTTTGGTTTAGCCTTTTCCTGCGTTCGCTCAGTGAAGTCGCAATATTCTGTCGTGTGTTTCGTTTTAAGATGCCTTATCAAGTTGGTAGTATTAAAGGCTGCTTTGCTAGTACCACCGCGTGAAATGCTCGCATTGCAAACGTTGCATGTAGCTACCAGACTAGAATCACTTTCCAACCTAAAATATTTCCACACTGCAGACATCTTAGCACCGTATTGCAAGTAGTAAACAACATGCGAGTTTAACATGCGAGTTTGCGACACGTGCGTGACGTAGCTGACGTAAACATTCGATCGGTCCGATACATAGAGCCGATTCCGATCAGTTAAAAAATGCCTCGATCGGCCCCGATACCGATCTTTATGATCGGCTCGGGACATCCCTAATTATAATATTTCAGAAGGTTTCCAACAGAATGTGCTTTTGAATGAACATTGCTCTTTTTTTCTAATTCTCAACTGCCTGCTTTTCTCGAATAGCATCTCGCGCAAAGCTTTCTATGTTAAACACCATGTCTAAGATTCGAGGCCAGGTGAAGAGTCCGGGCTATCCTCAGGCAGAAGGACTGCTGGGAGAATGCATGGGGAAGTATGGCAGAGAACTTGGAGAGGAAACCAACTTTGGTGAGAGTACAAAATGAGTGCAGCTTTTTAAATGGATTTGATTTCTCGCTCTCCCACTCATCACATTCACACGTCTACAGGCGGTGCTCTTGTTGAAGTTGGGGAAAGTATGAAGAGGCTTGCAGAGGTGAAGGATTCCTTGGACATTGATGTGAAACAGAACTTCATCGACCCTTTACAAGGCCTTTGTGACAAGGACCTTAGAGAGATACAGGTTTGCTTTTTTTCCACATGTTGACAAATACAGGCTGAGTTAGTAATAAAGACATGCGTATTAACAATTTGTAAATAAAGTTGGGCTGCAGCTAACCATTCTTTTTGTAAATAACTGACAAGTTATTTCCAGTGTATTGATGCAGATCCTTATGTCTGCAGATCCATTTCCAGGAATTTGAAGATTGTTTCAGGTGCAGCTGTTGCTACTTATGTCTTTCTGAAATAAAAAAAAGAAAAGTCTCAAAATAATTCGTAATTTGTTGTAGATATTAGTAAAACACTAACTTGCTGATTCAATGTTTTCACTCTGATTTCTATACACAGGTACGTCAAAAAAATACAACATTCTTCTCATACATTTCAGAGAGTTCTATGTGTTTACAGTATATATTTGAATGTATGTGCGTGTGTGTGAATAATGCAGTCTGATTAAAAACGAAGCTGATTCTTGAAGTTACATCTGTTCAGATTGTTCATGTTTTAGCCAGACCAAGTGAGTGCTTTTGTTTAAAAAAAAAAAAAAATTCACCATCATTCATACCCTTGCCTTACAATAAGGGAGGAAGAGTAAGCGGCCTCTTTACCATTAAATGGACAGATGTCAATGGGGAACATTTTTTAACTTAATTTTTTATAAACTTTTCATGAATACACCAAAAAAATCAAATAATGATCGTCCTTCTTAAATATTTCACTCTTTGTTTAATGAAAGTATAATATATGGGCTTCAATCTTCTGAAATGTGTGACCAAAGATATATATATATTTTTTTTTTTTTATATTATGTTCAGTTTTGTTTTGTTTTTTTAAACCTACCTGAACACCTTCACAGGGTACAAACCCCTACTCTTTCAATATTTGTTCTCCAAATGGCCTACAAAATGTTTGCAGTACTCAAAACTATTTTGAAACCAATTACCTCAAAACATTTGCATTTAAGAACACTAATCTTATAGAATCAAGTACTTAAAAAAATGTGAAACAGTAAACAGTAGTTTGGATAGTACATATAGAAAGAAGAGGGGTGTGGAGTCCTTTTCTTTTTTTGGGATGATTTCTAGGTCTTGTGTATCCCCTGCCTATGATCAAAAAGGCCATAATCAAATGTGATCACCCCAACTAACCAATAGTGAGACTATTATTGTCTTGATCGACTTGTTTTCCATATTTATGTTGTAATCCTAAAGCAAAAGTTTTTTAAATTTTTTTTTTTACATTGAGTTGTAATGGTGTTCCACATTATTGGGTTTACATGGAGATTTTCCTTCATTCTTAGCATCACTTGAAAAAGCTTGAAGGACGCAGGCTGGATTACGACTATAAGAAAAAACGCCAGGGGAAAATTCCTGATGAAGAACTCAGACAGGCACTGGAGAAATTTCATGAGTCTAAGGAGGTGGCCGAGATCAGCATGTACAATCTTCTGGAAACCGATGTAAGGAATTACGGCTGACAACTTGGTGTTGTTAATGATTTGCTATTTATGCTTTTTTTGATCCTTGTGCTGCTCTATCTGTTAGAAGCCTGAATAATCCAGTGTCTGGTTTTTATTCTTTTTTGACTTTTGTTAATAAAGTAGATTCTTGGCTGTAGAAGGTATCAATTGCTTTTGGAGATGTTAGAGCTCCATCTGTTGGTGCAAATACCAATAACGTCATTAAAGAACAAAACAGTACTAAGTAATTGAGGAACTCTATATTCATTAAGATTTAGAAGGTACAGTTGTGCTGGGAAATATTTTCTTAGAAAATATGAATTATAACACAAAATATTTTTCCTACGTATAGTTAGTTCTTCGGTGAAGCCATTGATTGTCAAATAACTATTTACTCTTTTTAAATCGAACAACACAAACTTTCCAAATGACCCTGATCAAAAGTTTATGCACCCCCCCCAATCATCAACCTTATGTCACTACCTCATTGAGTGATACAAAAAGTTTCTGTTGATTTAAGAGAGTAAAACATTTGTTTTACCATTTGTGTGAAGGCTCATGAGTTAGAAATGCATAGACCATTGTACATTTCATTTGCACGGACAGATAGAGCAGGTGAGCCAGCTGTCGTCACTGGTGGAATCTCAGCTGCAGTACCACAGACAGGCTGTTCAGATCCTGGACGAACTCTCTGACAAACTCAGCGACAGGTGTGTATGTGAACATGTGTCTTCACAAATGAGCCTTCTTGTAAGAAATAATGCATGTCTGTGTTAACCTTCCAGGATGAAAGATGCCCAGACACGTCCTCGTAAAGAGTACGTGCCCAAACCTAAGCCTGTGATTGAATTTGGAGACACCAACGAACAATCGAATGGCGGCTTCGCACCAGTTTCTGCTCCACCGATGCGAAATACAGGTAAGAAGTTCATAACACCTGAAATATATTGCAGGAATGAAGATGGATAGTGTTCAATACATTAA